TCCTGTTTGCTTCATGCAGCTGTGCAACAACCCAGTTTCCTTTCGGGTTGTCTCGTCTTCCAGCCGTGTGTGTTTTGCAGAACAGTCATCACTGGGATATTCGGCCCGTCCGACACTACCATGGTAGCAGTCTATCCGGACATGCAGGATATTGTGGTTCAACATATAGTACATCAAAGCATTCCAAAGCTCTGCAAAACCATGAGCCCTTCCTTGTCCCTGCAAGACCAAGACCGCGCTCTTAGGGCAAATATTCCCTTGCCGCCATGGCTTTCGCTGTCATTGGTCGGATCGCCGCGCCCCCACGACGTGACAGGGCTTCAGGCTGTTGGGTTCAGGTTTGGGCTAGCTGCTAACTCAGAAGGTGCAAGGTGGACGGTCAACAAGGTTCAAGGCCACCTGAGATTCAGCACTTTGCCGACCGCCGAAACACCTACACGGAGTTTCTCAACAAGTGATCTGTTTGTTCGGCGTCCTAAATAGCACGGATCCCGCTGCAATAGAGTCACAAACCCCCATCCCCTTGGTTCCCTGTTTCGGCAACTCCTGTATTATCATCCACGATCCCAGACCTCACGAAAGTTGTCGCAGAGCCCATCCATAAAGCTTCACCCGAACCTAAGTGTTTCCACCACCACCGCCTTGAGATTCGGAGTCCAGGAAATTCGAAGGTCTAAGTCGACTCAGGTCGCAGGCGTAACTTCGAAAAGCCACAGGCAAACTCACTGAGCCTAAGCCACCAAGTACGCCAGGGACAGTTCCGGGAGTCCGCAGGGGTGTGGATGGTTTCACCCACGCGGTAAGTTAGTCAATTGTGATTGTGTAATCGTGGGGTGCATTACAACAAAGATCCTCCAAGTGATAAGGGTCCCATGTTCATAAATGCGGCTGCCTCATTGATCCATAAGGTCCGGGGGTGTGGCGCGGAGCTGAAGTCGGACTTCGACAACCAGGCATGGTTTCGGGGTGTTTTCAGGGTTTTTACTTGTCTTTAGTAGGGTTCAGGGTTCAGGGTTTAGGTTTCAGCAGCTCGGGATCGAGCCGTTTATATTCAAGTTACTTTCACGGTTGGACATAACCCCACACCCCGGAATCCCGTAATATTGGAGAATAATAAGTTTCGTTTTTTTACACCAGCCAGTTCCGCTTACAGTTGGACTCCATTCACCTTTACATGATTTTCGTTTGCACTATTTTATATCACACCTAGACGAATAGCACGTAACAAACCCTAGACCCTAAACTGCTTTTAGGTTACGGTCTAGGGTTTGGGATATTCGGGTTTAGGGTTTAGCGGGTTTAGGGGTTTAGGGTTTAGGGTTTGCACATCGGTTTGAGGTTTGAGCTTCGAATTTTGAAGTTCGGGGTTTGAGGTTTGAAGGGCTCTGCTTGAAACTGGGTGCAAGCGTGTGTGCGAGCATGTGTGCGGCTAGTCTGTAGTAATGAATAAACCCAAAACCCTGAACTCTAAACCGTACGGTTTAGGGTTTTGGGTGCGCTGAACTTAGCCTAAAGTAAGACGTGGGACTATTGCCAGAGGCTCTTCTGCAAACTCAGAGGTGCTGCCTCGTCGGGCCGAGCCCGCTCCGTAGTGGCCGTAAAATAGCCCCGCGAGGGTTTAAGTAAATTGACAGTGCAGGCCCCCGCGAGAGTTTGGGAGCAGTGCAGGAATGCCAAAAGTCCTGTGAGTCCGAGGTGGAAGCGGATTTTGCGGCTTTGCGGGAGGACTTCGACTCGCCGTGCTGGCCTCCGGTGCAACTTGTGTACTGTTGCTGGAGTGCTTTCTTTGAATGGCACATTCGACTAGACAACTCTAGAAATTTGCAGAAGTCACTTGTGCAATGCTCCACAAACTGTCGGCTGGAAACTGAAGTCAAAGAAGCTCACCATGCGGCTGAGGCCCAAACGTCCTCGAGCCCCGGAACGTTCTTTGAGGCCAGCTTCCAGATCCAAGCCCCAGACCCTAAAACTCCCAAATAGCTTTCTTCAAAGAATAAGCAACCGTTTGCCACAATGATTCTGCACAACACCCCAACAAAGTTCTCAGAACACCAGCCCCTAAGCTCTAAGCTCCAAAGCCACGCTGCTTGTGATGGTTTAAGCCCTCTTCATGGCTGGCCGCGCGGTTTGTCAAAAAGGGGGTGCCCTTCGTCTGCGCCAAACACTCCAAAAGCAAGGTTGCTATGAAAGGGATTTTCCCTGCCAGGACCTGCGATCTCGCGAGGTGCCCCTGTACTGCTTACGGCTTACAGGTTCAATCCTGGCCATCTGCACTGATGCTTTGAGTAGCTTCGGGCACAAGCTGTGCAATTCCCCTCTCGATCCTCTGAGACTGTGGAAGCTGCCATTTGGTGCCGCCCGGAGGCGGGACGCCTGCTCAGCGTTTCTTCCAAGTACACTCCCCCAAACTAGCATGAGCCATAATCTCAACTCCTTGAAGAGGGTTATATAAGGCATGGTATAGGTATAGGGGACCACTGTCGGGGTTATTGACAGGGATACCAGGAGTTTATATTGCATGGTTGACATGGAATCCCCAGAACAGGGCCCCCCAGCAAGATTTCCTACAGTTCTTTCTATCCACAGAAGGGGCTACGGAGTGCAGGGCAGATGTCTTCATGCGAGTCCATGGGTGGCTGCTAGGATGTTCTACTGCACGTTTTTGCGTTGGCTCTCTGCAGCGTGTTTTTGAGGCGCACCTGTTTAGATGTGGCTTTCACATCATGCTAGTGACTTGCGTTGTTTGGCAACTCCTCTTCCTGTGCCAAGCCGTCCGTGACCCGGCGGCTGGCGATCGCCGGCTGAGCTTCGTGCAGCAGAAGCCAGATGATGGACCGTGTCCAAGCGCCATTCTGAACCTCGGTGCTTTTTACGCTTGTGAGTCTGAACCGGTCAGCAGCCGCTACCCTAAGTCAACTAACTTGAAATTCCCGCCATTTGTGTGCCCACACGCACAGACTCGCCCTCAAAAACTTCTGAAAGGAGCGACCTGGATGTGCGGTCACTGGTCTTGCAGCAGCCTGACTTCACTTTCCTAAAGTCTCGAGAGTTTTTCCTCTCCGAGACCGCCTCCTGCGATCGGCCCATGCATGACGTGAAGCTGCTGAAGGCCCGGGCAGAGTCCTAGCCTTCGGGGAATGGCTACAAATCTTCGACGTGTGAGGCTTATATTGTATTTGAGAGTTGTTCCAAACCCCCGGCTCTTTAGCGTAGACTAACAGCGCACTTGAATATTTGGATTCAGGTTTGGGATCTATAGTAAAAACACGACGCCGCGCAAGCGCGTGCAAGGGCGAGCGCAAGTTCAGCGCAAGGGGAATACCTACTACTAGTATCACTACTACTAGCAGGAGTCCTCGTATCATTACCAGTACTACTACCTGTATTAAGCACGGATCCGAAAATAGCAAAAATCAGTTTTACACAGGGAGCCGTGCGCAAGGGCGGCTCAAGGTGAACCCTCCACTTCGACCAATGCCCCATTCCTCTTGCGTGACAGTTGTTTGAAAACCCACCCAAGTTCCCTGCACGAAATATTCAAACCGGATTCTGGACTTGCTATTTTGCGGCTGGTCTATCAAGGCTACAAGGTGGGAATGTGTTTAAAACCCTGTACGCGCAAGAGCGCGCAAGGGCGAAGCGCAAGGCGATTTTCGAGTTACGGGCTGCAACCATAATAAAGAACAACCCCCATTTATTGTAGTTGGAGACTCTGCGTCAAGGCCATCCATCCTGGAATTCTGTCCTCACTCCTGCCAGGTGAAGAAGTCCTCTGCAGCGCGGCGGGCGCAGCTCGCGCAGCGCTTCCGGGTGAAGCAGGCGAAGACCATGCTTCAAGCAGCCGCGCAGAACAAGCTCTCGACCCAAACAGTCCAAGACGCTCTGCTTGGAGTCCCGGGAGAGGAGGAGCACGTGCCCGCTGTAGAGCTGCACATGTATCCAGAGGACCCTCAAAACGCAAGCTCGCACTGGCGGGTGCTGCTGGTGCCGACGACCAGAGATGCCTTCAAGACGTGGTACTTGTGCCAACCCGCACCTTCCTCGCCACAATGCGTTGCAAAGCTACCCTTTGAGCCAGTGCCTTTTTACCTCAGCTCTCTGGCCGGAAACTGGTATTCTTCTTTGGACCGACACCGCTCATCCCCATCCTGCCTCCTTCTCGCGATGGAGGTCATTCTCGCATGTGGCTCGTCAGTGCTTGTTGCTCTCGCTCTACTTGCCGGCTGTGCGATGCTCAAGACGCGCGAAGGTGATGGGCAAGATGGTAGAGGTGATGCAGAGGGTAAGGCTTCTGTCTTCATTGCAGAGGACTGGTCCTTTCCCTGCAACTGCTGCTTGACGCAGCATGCGCATCTGCCCCACGGCCACAGCTTTCAGTAGCTCCTCTTTTTCTTAGATGTTAAGCTGCTGCATGTCTTGGAAGTTGGGAAGCGGTTGGTGGAGTGTGTTAGTTTCATAGTTCTGAGCTTGCTGTCGAGGTACCGCGATAGCGGTGTGCAGGTGGAAGGTGAGCCCCTGGATGCGGGGAGTTGCATCGTGGTGCAGGAAGCGCAGCGAGGCAAAGTATCGCTACCTCTCAGCTTCTCTGTGTTCAAAGGAGACTGGGCAGAAGTTGTGAAGACACTGCTTGGCAAGCCGACGGAAAAGTTGTGGGGTCGTGTGGAAGACCCCGCCGGGTGGCTCCTCCTTGCCAAGGACAGCGGGGCTGGGGGTTGAGTTCCTTCGCAATCCTTCGAGCCAGGTTTGGCAGATAGGCTTAGGAATTTTCAGGGTAGGCAGAGGTGCGGGAAGGGGGGCGAGCGTCCAAGGAGGTTCGGAACTTGAGGCGCAAAGCGCGCCGTGTCCTCTGTCCTTTGCGTCATCCGGGGTTTGGTTTGAGGTTCTAAATCCTCTGTAAGCTGTTCCATAGGGAACACGGGACTTATATAGGGAGTATATAGGGACTCTATGGGATATTCTTGAGAATATGGGAATTGTAGTTTTTTTTTGGTGCGCTGTAGCGTGAACCTGACCCAGGAGGGCGATGGCCTGCAACGGGTTGTGGAGGCAGAGGCCAAGCCCAAAGCAGTTTTTGCCCCCCATGCCGACTTAGTGCCTCCGCTCCCTGTGTTTCTAAGAAGCACTCTGGTCATGTTGTCAGTGCATGTGACGTCGCAGTGGATTTTGGTCGAATACTTCACCAGGATGTATTCCTTTCCTGCATTGATGTATTTGGTTTTCAGTACAGTGTCCACGCACATTCTGGTGATGCTGGAGCGTTATAAAACCTGCGTGCTCGGCATGCAATACGATGAAGTTTTGCAGACCAAGCGCCACTTGCTGCGATTGAGGACGGCAAACATGAAGATTCTCATAGTCTTTGGGGTTCTCCAGGCCTCCATCATGGGCACCATTTTGGCAAAGCTGACTGTTGCATCCAGCAAGCAGCTGGTGACCGAAATGGGTTTCCTGGCAGGCCTTGCTTTGCATGCCAAGGCGATGTATGACACCAGCGCGGTGCGGCAGAAGTGGCGTGAGCCACAGCTGGCAAGCAAGGAGATCTACACAGCCGCCCTGGAAACAATGCCGAGCACCTCTACAAGACCAATAACTCTTAGCAGCCAGAGAGCACGGAACCTTTCCTCGCTGTGGCGGGTGACACTTGCGGTAGTTATCATAGCTTTGATGCTGGTCGCACGCATCACGCTGGATGTGCTGCAGCTGCGGGGAGAGCTTGTGGGCTACAGCATTTCTCGAGGAAAACTCGTGTACCCAGCTTGTAGCCAGGCCTTTCACAACACGTTCCTCCTGGACCAGAACGCGGACTCCTTTACTCTGGAGTTGCAGCTGGGAGACTTCACGCAAGGTGTGCGGATTGAGCTGGTGCACCCTCTCCTCGCAAATCAGGAGAACGCGAGCGAGCCTCTTTTCGTGAACGCATCGGGTGAGGAGAAGTTGTCACTTCCGAGTGGGCCTCTGTATTCTCAGCTGAGGCTCCATGCAACTGGATCAATGTAAGGGATCCCTTTAAAGGGAGATTTAGGGCTTAGGTGGAGACATTATAGAGATAAAAAAAAAGGGTTCAGGGATCCTTTTTGTACTTTTGGGGTTATAGGATTCCTTTTATCTGTAAAAAGGATCCTTTTTCTTGCTAGGGCAACGTGGGCTAAGGCAATTGGAGATTATGCCAATACCACTTATCTGATTCACATCCTGCGTGTGGGCGAGGCCATCTCAATCAACCTCTCTGCCACCTTCAACGAAGCCAGGTATCCAGAATTGGCAGGCGTGGTATCTGGGTTGCTATTGAGGAGCTTAGATTAAGCTACAATAATAAGGAAACCCTATGATGTCCTTTATGCCCAGAATATGATCACTGAATTCAAGTCCTTCAACAGCCACCCAGGTATTCCAGGAGGAACGCCGACTGCAGTACCAGCTGAAGCACCGCCTGTGGTACGTCCCAGACATCGACCTCTCAGATAAAGCCGCCCTGCTGGTGACGATGACTTCCATGGTGCTTGCGCCCATGATCTCTGCCTCGCAGGAGGGCCACGCCCGTCTACGAAAACTTACCGATGCAAGCTTAGACCGGAGAAAGGCTTCCAATTTAAACTTAAGCAAAGCACTGCAAAAGGATGAATCTCTCAGCCCCTTTGCCCGCTGCAGCCTGCAACCCCTCAAAAGCTCCCGAAAAGGAGGGCGTCGTGGCAGCCGCTGCAATCCCAAGCCTGGGCCAGAAGTGCCAGTGTGAGCAGTCACCAGGCCTTCATTCTGAAAGCGTGGCGGGCCGTGGGTTCAAGTTTTGAGGATGTCTTCGGTTCCACCTTGCAATGTAGACGGCTGAGCCATCGCCACAATTTCTTGCAGCGCAGGCCAGCAAAGCAACTGTGTCGCAGAAAAAGAAGTGCGCGTGGGTAACGCGACCTTCTGCATCTACCAGCACAGCGCAGAGCAGGCAATCTACCCGAACCGAGGCGGGAGGGTAACGCAGACACACAGGGCTTGGTTTTTTTGTCACGACATGAGGTAGTTTCCCAGAGTTGGGGGGGCCCCAATGTAGAACACCCAACCACCATCGTCCTTTTTGCAGGTATCCCCCAAAAAAGGACCCTTAATTTATGGAAACCCACATGATGAGCTTGTGCCTTGCACTTAGGAGATGCCGGAGTGGCTGGGAAGGACAGCAGCATCCTCCAGTGGCTGCAGGATACCCGGTTCAGTGGGAAATGGGTCCGCTTGACTCCCGGATCGGACTTCAACGCCGAAACCTCCGGAAATCACAGTTTGAGTACACGCTTCCGGCTGACCGGTACGCTCCAGACATTGAGGGATGACAACCGAGCTATACAGATCGTGGCGACCCAGGACATGACGAACTCCGAAGCTTTGGAGGTACAGGTCATGGTAGTTTCTGGGGCTCCCCCGCCAGTTCTCGTCTCGAAGCCGGGTTGCTGTTAAGAACTTTAGATCAACGTTGCTATGATAAGAAGCCCCCACTTTTTTACTATATAACCCATATTGTGGTAACTTCGTTCGAGTTCCTGAAGCCCTAAACCCTAAGCCCTAAACCTTAAACCACTACAACCCTGAACTCGAAACCCTAAACCCTGAACCTCATGGACTGCAACCCAGGAAGAGTGAGTCGGACGAGCGCTTCCTTCTTCCCAGCTTCAGCCGCGATGCGCGGACAGACTACGCGATCTGCGGTGGCCGGAGCACCCTGGATGACGTCGCTGGGTAGCTGTGAAAGGCTTGAGGGTTTAGGGGTTTAAATTAAGTAACGATAAAATGGCAAGGTGCAAGTAGATTTAGTCACCATAGTATGGGCATACAGTAAAGACTGGGGCTTCTTTAGTCGAGTTGTGCAAAGGGATGTCGAAGCCTAGCACAATTCTGCTGTGAGCTATGTTACCGTGTCCTTGAACCGAAGCTTGGGAGTCATGCTGGCACCAAGCGGAGGTTAGCAACTGCTCAACAAACCGGTGTTTTGGCTCAAGATCAATAAGTGTTAATGCACTATTCATCGATCCGGCTGCCATAGTCTAGTGCGTACTACCTTCTTGCACAGACAACATCGGACTCAAGCCCGACACGGTAAAAGGAGAGGACCGAGTTTGCCTGCAAAGAGTTGCTGTCATATTCATTGGAAGCGCAATCATATTCATACTTACTACACGCTCATAGAGCAAGGTTATACGCAATATCGTGTACCAGACCCTCACGCAGGTTATCAGCCGTAGGCTCTGCCTACCGACGAGTTTGACTTTGTGACGCACGCAAATTATGACATCAGGATCGAGTGCAGACACAACCACGACCTTTGGTGTTGAAGTGGCAATGCCTGCAGCAGGTGATTCTACTGCCGAAGAATCACAGACTATATCTGTTGACTTCGTAACCACGGAAGAAGAGAAGAAACCGAAACAACAAGCAACAGCGTCATCATCGAAGCAAAGGGCAATTTCTTTACCAAAGACAAGCTCGCAAACACGATCGTTGTCTACCGGTCACAGCTCCAAAGCAAGCGACAGAAGACCGTCAAAATCAGTGATCCAAAGTCGGCAGACCATCAAGAAAGTGAAGGATCGTGAACCTCTAAGCAGTCCAGAACAATCAAAGTCGAGATCTTCGTCGAGAAGTGTTTCGCGAAGAGCCTTGTTGGACAGACAATCGTCACCTTCTCCGATTGCGAAACGATCAGCTGAACCAACACCTACGTCGCAGACTAGAAGTGCAGAAAAGTCGAACCTCCACGAGGGCGACACAGCCGATGCAGCATTGGAGAGGGCAATACGAGTTCAGAGTCAACGAGGACTACGAAGCAATCTTCCAGTGTTGAACCTGGTCGGTCAACCTCAATCGACGAACCATCAGCTTATCGAGCAATTGATGCATGCTGAGGAGAGGATGAAAGTATCCCATCAAGAGGATATTCGACGTCATGAGGAGATAGCTATGGGTTTGGTTGCCAAACTGAACGAGATGGCTCAGGAAGATCATGGGTCAACGCTGAGAATTGAGGAACTTGAACGTCAGCGCAATTTGCTAAGCTCTGCCGTGGAACGGAACATGTGAACCAAGTACATCAACGTTCGCTGACAACACGCAACTCCGCTTTGCATCCACCATGAACCCCCGCGACTGTGTACCTTCTGACAGACTACGAACCATAGAGGAAGAAACCAGGCGCAATGACGACGTCAGGCATTCTAGGAGGATGTGGCAGAACTTCGAAGTGTCTCTTCGAATTCCGGAGCCAGTGTACTGTCCAGAACAATTTTGGTTCTTGATCGATGAGTATCGCACCGCATCCTTGTTGGGGTCAGGTGCAAACGGCAAAGTTTGCTTCTGCGATGGCTGCGAAAGTCAGAAGGCGGAGTCGATATTCTGCCAAGAAAACACGTCGTTCTCTCCGGTGAGCGCATATCCTGACCGATGCATTGGGTGTGCTTTCAAACATGCTCACTACAACTCGCTCTACAAGACCAAGAACTATGGAAAACTTCGGGAATCTGAGTCGTGCTCGCTCGCTTGTGCATATCACAGATCTACGGCCAAAAGACGATCTGATGGAGCTCCTCCGCAGATGTTGTCCAATCGTCTACCAATCGGTGGGGAAGGTTGTCTCTTCTTATGGAGGGATAAGATGTACCCCCGGGCACGCGTTGTTCTATCCTATTTGGGGAAGAGCCAAACAATTGGCATGGGACAGGGCGTACGATCAAGCAGGCAATCTTTGCTACATTGCTTACTATGATGCTGGAAATGCTGCGTATGCTGGTTTCATCAAGACGTTGCTATCCCCACAAGAAAGAATCGAACTGTTCCGAGGGAGCGAAAACCCGCACGAAGAATTGCTGGGAGA